CTTTCTCCCTTCTTCCAGTCATTGTTCCCTTTTTTTCTATGTTTTAAATTGTTTTTCCCTTTTTTTTTTTTTTTTTGAGAAATCAGGTCCTTATGGCCCTGGCTCCATATCCATTCTGGGGAGCGTCAATCCGGTTCCTCCGCCCCTCGCCCCCCCCGGCCCCGCAAGTCGAGAATACGCATCATTTGCATACCCTTGCATTCCTTCCGTTTGGCCGAGGGAACCCTGAACAGCATTGATTACTCCCACCATTGATTTCAGGAGGATTGATTGTGTGTCAGCTTGCCCTCCCCACCATTCTTTCAAAAAAAAAAAAAAAAAAGCATTCATTGAATTCATTCTTTTCTTCTCTGCTTTTCTCCCTGTGCCCTTCGTCAAGGCTTCCGCCCTTTCTCTTCCCCCACACCCCCCCTCGCCATCCCCCAACCCTTTCGATCACCCGGGTTGTATACTGCCGAGCTATTGAAATACACACCCAAGTTCGAATCCACGGAGGGTGGCGAGGGGGAGTGGGGGAAGAGAAAATGCGGAAGCATTCGTTCACAAACTGAGCTCATGTTTGTCATGTCCCTTAGGTAATCTCATTGTGAGGGCATGTTCCTTAGCTATACACCGATGAGCTATTGAAATACAGACCAGCTATACACCGACGAGCTGTTGAAATACATACCCAAGTAAAAAAAAAAGAAAAAAAAAACCAAGTTCGAATCCAGGGAGGGTGTCGAGGGGGAGTGGGGGAAGAGAAAGTGGAGAAGCGTTGAGAAACTGTGCTCTTGTTTGTCGTGTTCCTTAGCTAATCTATAATTGTGAGGGCATGTTCCTTAGCCAATGTTTGGTAATGTTCCTTAGCTAATCTAATCGTTAAGTCATAATAATTCCTTAGCGAACCTAACGATTAGACTAGCTAACGCTCATCGAATTGTTGGATCCTGTTCGTTAGCGAACCTAATCGCCCTCTAGTGTTCCGGTCATGATGTCAACACAATATGATACTCTATGATTGTTAATCATGTTGTTCAGGTGCAGTTTTCTCTGCTGTTTTTTTTTTCTGTCGTATGTTTTTTTTTTTTTTTTTTTTTTTTTTTTCCATCAAAAAAAAACATTTTTTTTTTTCCATTGTTTTTTTTTTTTTTTTTTTTTTTTTTTAGCTTAGACAAAGAATAAACAGCAAACAAGCAAGACATTGAAAATAAACAATGCAACCCCCTTGCTTTTCCTCCTCCTGCTCCTCCTCCTCCTCCTCCCCTCCATCATCATCATCATCATCATCATCATCATCATCATCTCTCCTCGTACTTCTCCACCCATCATCATGCATCGTCCTCAGTCTCTTCCTCCCATCCCTTTTTTTGTTTTGTCTGTTTTTTTTTTTTTTTTTTTTCCCCCCCTTCCAATGGTCCTATCTTACTATTACTCATCCGTAGCGAATTAGTAACTGCATGAAAGAATGAACATAGCATCATCGCCTGAAGTTTCCAACCTACGGTCTTCACCCGAATAGAACGCCTGCCTGGTATCATTATCACAGTACCTGGACTGAAAGGTGCACCGAGTACGGCTATAACGACTGGGTGTTCTATCGGATGAAGAAGGCAGCAACAGTTGTTCAGCTCTCACTTCCCCACAAACTTTCACCCCCTCTCTCTGTCTCTCTCATTTCTCTACTCCTCTGCGCATCAACTCCGATTTCGGAAACTCTCGTCTGACGTGCAGATCAGAACACAAGAGAGAACACCTCTTTCTCCTCCTCCTCCTCAACTAAGTTCCACACCAGATCAGGACCAAATCAGAAGGAAGTCAGCACTAAACCGGCACCAAGTCAGCAAAAAATGAATAAAATAAAAAAAGGATTAAAAAAAACATAAAAAAAAGTAAAAAGAACTTTGATCTTTTATAAAGTTTTATTTTAAATTTGGTAAAGAATTTCGATGTGACCCTGAGGCAAGAGTTGTTCAGTTTATTTTTCGGCGTAACATAGGTTTTTTTTTTTTTTTTTTTTTTTTTTAATGCTGGGACCTTCCCTGGTCCTTGCACGGCCGGGTCGCCCGGAAAAACAGGGTGTGGCCTGGACGGCCCGGCTGGTAGCCTAGTAAAGTAATAGAAATGACCTAGACTACCAGCTGGGCCGCCCAGATCACCTTGTTTGCCCGGGGGGCCTGGCCGTGCAGGGGCCAAAGAAGGTCCCAGCAAAAACGAAAAGAAGAAAAGAACAAATCAAAAAAATCTGAAAAACAATTATATCATCCAGAAAAATAAACTGAACATCTTTTGCCTCAGGGTCACATCGAAATTCCTTACCAAATTTTAAATAAAACAAAGTTTGTAACTTAAAAAAAAATAATAAAAAATTGGCCCGGCCGGGCAAGTGGTCCCGGGCCACTCTGGTAGCCTAGGAAATGATATAAAGCTGAAATTGAGTACATCAAAAGGATTGCAAAATGGCCCCAGCAGTGTTTACGTAATCTTAGGTGAACACGGCTATGGCTACTGTCTTCAGCACAATAGAACGCCCGGTCATTATATAGACCGTAATTGGTGCACTGTTCAGTCCAGATACAGCTATAATGACCGGGCGTTCTATTCGGGTGAAGATGGTAGTCCTGGTTGAGCGCTGACGCTGCTGAGTGCTTCTTTTGGTTTCTCCTCTTTTTTGTTTTCTTGTTCCTTTTTTTTTGTTTTTGTTTGGTCTTTATGGGGTGACGTCCAGTAGCACGGAGGATTGGATTACGCGCCTGAATCTGGTTGCGTTTTATGCAAAGATGCAGGAATGCAGATTAATCATTAATCTCATTTTCTGCATCTCTCCACAAGATGCAGGAATGCAGATTAATCTCATTTTCTGCATCTCTCCACAAACATGTCTAGGATTCAGGCAATAAATCCAAACCTATTTTCTAGTGGAACCTCCCCCCTGGTGATTGCCACTGATGGCATATTTCTTAACAGTCCCTCTCCCTACCTTACATTTATCGTGACAGTCCTCTCACCACCGTTGAAGAGGATTGCGACATGCAAACGCTCGCGCTCGTGCTCACTCACGTCATGAGCAAGAAGATGCGCAGACACACATCCATACATCCATTCATGCTGACACTCCAACCTTGCAAATAATGATTTAAAAAACAAAAAAAAAGAATAAAAGAAAAATCCGCCGTGTATGGTGAAATAAAGAAGAATCCAAAGGAAGGAATCCTGCAAAAAAAAAAAAAGAAAAAAAAAAAGAAGGGAATGCTCGAGGGTCTGTCACTGACTTGTATACTGATTCTGAATGAAAGCGGTCAGCATAACTTAGGAGAGTGCTCCCCCCTCCTCCTCCCCCTTCCCGGAAAAGAAGCGGTTTCTAAGTACTGCCCCTGCATTTCTGTAACATCTTGCAGGTTTGCCCCTTGATTTATCATCAGCATGAGGAGCAGGTAGCTGTAAACTCCCGGCATCGCCCTGAACAGTCCGAACTCGTGGTACGTATCTGGTCATCTTATTTGTGTGCCACACTGCTGCCTTTGTCAGGCGTTTCTTATTCGAGAGAATGAACCTTGCCTATTTCAGGACCAGAATCATGCTTTCTTAAGCACAAGCATGCACTTGCCACCCCCCTCCTTTCCCCCCTCCCTGCCCCTCCCCCCCCCTTCCCGGGTCTTTCAAAGGTGGACCCGTTGAACCCCACCTCACAAGGAGCCTGGCTAAAGCTTTTTACAGTTTTTTACAGTTAGGGCCACCTCCCACTGGTGCTATGTTCATGTTAAGAGAGCATGAACCTAACTGTTTTTTAAAACCAGATTCATGCTTTCTGAGCACGAACCCACCACCTCTGAGGTTCACTGTTTAGCTATGAAATCATTTCAAAGTTCAAACCTTATCAAATAACCATCGCTTGTTCAAAAAAGGATAGCACTTCGTGCCTAGTGTACTACCGTCTTCCCCCCATATAGAACGTGCAACATTATTGCTGTATCTAGACTGAAAGTTGCCCCCGATACAGGCATAATGACCGTACTTTCTATTCGGTGGGCGCAGACGGCAGTCCGTTTGCAATAAGCAAATTGAAGAGGAAGTTTTAATGAATATAAAATTAAAATTTCCATATGGCATTTAATAATTCTTTTCAAGACGAGGCCGGGAAAACCTCAATAGTCTGGACTACCAGCTGGGTCGCCCGGGCGAACAACGTGACCCGACTGGGCCCAACCGGTAGCCCAGACTATTGTGGCATTTTTCTTCTGTGAGAGGAACGAGCCCTCGCAAGGTCATTTTGCGGCCAGCAAGCCTCGTGCTCGCTCTAAGTGAAGGCGGGCCTGCACTTCAACTTCGAGGCCTGAAATTTTGTCATTTCTGCATGTGGGGGCGCCAGACCGTGTCTCTGATACGCAGCTCCACGGAATACTTGTGAACGTGAGATCCTGGTGCGATAATTGCACGCACGTGTTGGGCAAGGCCGATCCGCTACAAGATCGCACAACGTCTTCGCTCATACAGCGACGTCGAAAATCGTATGTGGCAGGACATCGAGGAAACCAGGCCGCGTAGTGGCAACGGCATCAGAAGCGCTCTGTGTACTCAATTCAACCCAGAGAGCATACGGCGGAACCGGTGAACCATTCGAATCTCTCTTTTCAAATGGGGCAGAGGGCTCGTAGTACCTACCGGCAGAGGGGAAGGAGCGTAAATCGACGTACTTGGACCGCGAAACCAAGCACGCCAGTTTGTTACAAGGTTCCCCTTACATTTCTTTTTCTTTTTACCTTTTGATCAGCTCTTTTTTTTTTTTTTTTTTTTTTTTCCCCATATCATGCACAGCTCTCTCCTCCCCATCTTCATCCCTCTCTTCCTCCAGTCTTTCTTCCAGTCATTGTTCGTCTCCTATTTTCTTTTTCTTTTTTCTTTTTTTTCCTTTTTCTTTTTCTTTTTTTTTTAAATTATGAAACAGGTCCTTTTGGCCTCGGCTCCGTATCCATTCTGGGGAGTGTCAATCCTTGTCCCCCCCCTTTACAGCGCAGCTTTTTTTCTCTTTCTTTCTTAATTCCCCCC